ATATATATATATATATATAGAAAGATAGAAAGATAAAGAGAGAGAGAGACAGAAAGAAAGAAAGTAAGGAAAGATCTGTTTACTCTAAAAGTAAGTCTACTTAGACTTACTTTACTCAATAACTCATGTTCTACATCAAATTTCAATGATCCAACTACTAAGTTTAAAGTTCGTAATGCATAAATCAAGTTTATAAATTTAAAAAAAATATAATTTAAAACTAATAATATATTATAAAAATTATTTAAATTATATATATTACAAATAAATAAGTAGTCATTATTATGTTTAATAAGATTCTTCGCTCTTTCATTAACAGAGTTTAATTCTCATTGTTATTTTTATAGTTTATGATCTCTTAAAAAAATTTAAAAAAATTGTGGTTGAATTAGTGGGTCGACTAGACTATCAGTTCCCAATTCAACCGGTCTAATCAGAATTTTAAAACACTAACCCAAATTTTAATTCAATACATTCAACTCACAAGTTTTTTTTAGGTTCAGTTTGTCCTGGACGTTTTTTCTTAATACAAGTATTTTAAAATTTTGTCATAGAAATTAATTTGGTTTGATTAGAAGTTAAATAAAATATGATGAATGATTATTTGTTAAATTTGAACACTTTTTAAACAATTCAACTTTAAATTTACCACATTAACTATCTGTGCTCGACATCTGGATGAAAATTTAAGGACAGTAAGTTGATGAGTAACAAGATGACTCTACAAAACTAACAATATGTAATATCAAGCATGTGGTTTAGCAATAGGGGTTAATCCGCGTTTAAGCAAGGTCTGAATCCTACCGCGTTAAATCTTGGGGTCAGCTATCCTACATTTTGAGGTGCCTCCAACGTAGCTCCAGGGATGAAAAAAAAAAAAAACTAACAATGTGCATTTTCTAAGAATTAATGTGTATGTAAAAAAAATATAAAAAAGTAAAAATGTTGAAAGATGTCATGTTCATGCATTAGATGAAATTCAAGTAAGAAAGTTTCACATCAAATAAAATTTTAGTATGAGTATGTTATATGTTGGATAATATATAATTAAATAAAAAAATAGTAATTTAATATTTTAAAATGGGATGTGGAATTTGTTTGAATGGTTTAATTTGTTTGTGTGATTTAATTTGTTTATCTATTAATAGAGTTATCTTTTATATTTAACTCCCCTCAAGTGTAACCAACGCGTCATTTTTTTTTATAATCTAATTTTAATTTTGACTTTTGGGTGTTAATACTTAATATGCTACCACTGGTTAGTATTAACTCACGCTATTTCAAATTGAACTGAGTCTTTTAAATTTTTATACACATCTAGATTAAATTATTTTTATTTATTACTCCTTCACTAAAATGTAACATTAATATTTTACGTACTTGAATTAGTCTCTTTTATTTAACAATAAAATATCTTAATAAGTTAGTTTTAAAATAATGATTTATTTCATAAATACAAATTAATCATTAATTATTAACATTAAGACACTGTATGAATTATATTTATGTAAAAAAAAAAAAAAAAAAAACTAGAAGCTCAAAGT